CATAAGTCATGTGCTCCAGACCCCTAATCATTTTTGTTGCCCTCCGCTGGACTCTTTCCAATTTTTCCACATCCTTCTTGTAGTGTGGGGCCCCAAACTGGACACAGTATTCCAGATGAGGCCTCACCAATGTCGAATAAAGGGGAACGATCACGTTCCTCGATCTGCTGGCAATGCCCCTACTTATACAGCCCAAAATGCCGTTAGCCTTCTTGGCAACAAGAGCACACTGTTGACTCATATCCAGCTTCTCGTCCACTGTGACCCCTAGGTCCTTTTCTGCAGAACTGCTACCTAGCCATTCGGTCCCTAGTCTGTAGCTGTGCATGGGATTCTTCCGTCCTAAGTGCAGGACTCTGCACTTGTCCTTGTTGAACCTCATCAGGTTTTTTTTGGCCCAATCCTCTAATTTGTCTAGGTCCCTCTGTATCCGATCCCTACCCTCTAGTGTATCTACCACGCCTCCTAGTTTAGTGTCATCTGCAAACTTGCTGAGAGTGCAGTCCACACCATCCTCCAGATCATTAATAAAGATATTAAACAAAACCGGCCCCAGGACCGACCCTTGGGGCACTCCGCTTGAAACCGGCTGCCAACTAGACATGGAGCCATTGATCACTACCCATTGAGCCCGATGATCTAGCCAGCTTTCTATCCACCTTACAGTCCATTCATCCAGCCCATACTTCTTTAACTTGGCGGCAAGAATACTGTGGGAGACCGTATCAAAAGCTTTGCTAAAGTCAAGGAATAACACATCCACTGCTTTCCCCTCATCCACAGAGCCAGTTATCTCATCATAGAAGGCAATTAGGTTAGTCAGGCACGACTTCCCCTTGGTGAATCCATGCTGACTGTTCCTGATCACTTTCCTCTCCTCTAAGTGTTTCATAATTGATTCCTTGAGGACCTGTTCCATGATTTTTCCAGGGACTGAGGTGAGGCTGACTGGCCTGTAGTTCCCCGGATCCTCCTTCTTCCCTTTTTTAAAGATGGGCACTACATTAGCCTTTTTCCAGTCATCCGGGACCTCCCACGATCGCCATGAGTTTTCAAAAATAATGGCTAATGGATCTGCAATCTCATCCGCCAACTCCTTTAGCACCCTCGGATGCAGCGCATCCGGCCCCATGGACTTGTGCACGTCCAGTTTTTCTAAATAGTCCTGAACCACTTCTTTCTCCACATAGGGCTGGTCACCTTCTCCCCATATTGTGCTGCCCAGTGCAGCAGTCTGGGAGCTGACCTTGTTCGTGAAGACAGAGGCAAAAAAAGCCTCCATCAGCACATGGAATGTTTGTACCCTGAAAGCAGGATATCTCCAACCAATATAAAATGAGCTGTCATCAGATATATTGGATATGATTGGTTTGTGTGAGTCCAGAGAGACTAGGAATGGAATGATGATTACTGTGGAAGGAAACACTCTGATCTGGAGTGGCAACAACAGAATAAGACAGGATGGTTGCACTGCAGATCAGAAAGTAGATCAGCCCCTAGTAATTACCTGCAGACTGGTCAGCAGCAGGTTGATGACCCTTAGATTGGCAACTCATCCCTATAATGTCACTGTTTTCCAGCGCTACACCCCAACTAGTGACAGTGATGAAGAGGTTGAAAAATTCTATGGCAACATCAAGGAGTTACAGTTGTTCACCAGATGTACATGTTAGGGGTTGTTTACACAGAAGGTTCTCGCTCTGCATTGTGGGATGCATACTAGAAGCCAAGTGGGTTCAAATTTTATTTTAAAATCCCATGTTTCTGCTGTCTCCTCCCCACACTTCCTTTCTGGGTGGGCTAGCACCCTTTTTGAATTGCTGTCATCAAGCATGAACCTGACAATGCTCTGCTCTATTATGCTGGCAACTGTGAATTCACAGAGGCTGCTTGGGCTGTATTTTAGCACTCAAAGTTGGATGAATTTGGTTTTAGGCTTCACCTGCCACATCACCAAGCAGATGTGGTGGCAGCATCAGCTCCTCCAACAGCGTTAGCAGCTTCAGCAGCAGCAGAGGAGGAAGAGGGATGAGGACAAGTAAAAAGTGGAGAACACTGAGTAACTGATATGAAAGGAACGGTTCCCAGAGCAGATTCACACTATGCAGCTTTGTTTCTGGGCTCGGGAGACCAGTGGAAAAGGATCATTCTGCAGACCTGGAATGACCAGCAGTGGCAAGAGAATTTCAGGATGGCAAAGGCAACCTTTTTTGAGATGTGTACAGAACTAACCCTGAAGCTAAAGTGAATGCATACCAACATGCCAGTTGCCACTGCCATCTGGAAGCTGGCCACCTCTGCATGCTACCATGCTGCCGCCAACCAATTTGGCGTGGGGGTATGAACTGTTGGGGTCATTGTCATGCAGAGAATGTGTGATGCCATGGGAAAGGTACTGTTGCACTGGGATACAAAGCTCAATAATACTCAAGAAATTATTGATGGCTTTGCATGCATGGGGTTCCTAGACTGTACTGAGGCAATTCATGAGAACCATGGGCCTATTATTTGACCCTCCCTCCTCCCATCAGGGTTCAGAATTTGTAAACAGAAATGGGAATTTCTCCACAGTGCACCACAGGCTGATTGTCCACTGTGGCAGGTTTATGAACATAAGTGCAGAGTGGTCTGGAGGGATTCACGATGCTAGCATCATATGGAGCTCAGCTCTATTTACCTTAATGGATTAAGGACAGTTTGCCCCGAGGATCACAATGGACATTAATTGTGTGGAGATTTATCTGGTTATCCTGGAAATCTTGGCTTATTCTCAGCTCCCCTGGCTAAGGAAGTCATTCACAGGCTGCTTGGACAGAAGGAAGGAACTGTCTAACTACTGCCTCAGTAATTGTAGAACAGCAGTGGCATGTGCATGTGACCATTTGAAAGGAAGCTGGTGCAATCTGTGGAATAGATTGGAAGCTTCAGAAAAAGTGTGTCTAAGATTAAAGCTGTATGTTGCATTTTGCACAATATTTGTGAGAGTAAGGGAGAAAGCCTTAGCAATGGGTGGGAGGCTGAGGTGTAGAGACTTACTCTGTGGTTTGAGCAGCGAGCAAGGCATCCAATACAAAATGGAAACAGCCAGGGCAATGCTATCAAGGGTACCTATAGCTCTTCCTTTGAGTCACAGGCCTGAAAATGTGCAGCTGTTCATCCAACCATTAAGCCCTGGGGGAGAGGCGTGGGATGGATTCCGAGCAGAGTAGTGTTGCTGGTGGAAATGAAGTGGAATGTTTTGGCAATCCTTATTGTACCTTGTGTCTGTGCCTAGACACTTTTGTAAAACCATCTGAATTATTTACGCTCTACAGAGTTTCTGTGTGAAATGCACTGATGACTCTGTATATAAAAAAGGAATGTTTTTTATTATTCAACAATGTGTAACCCCTTTGGGGTTTAGAGAGCATGGCCCTTTAAATCTTTTTCCTAAGTGGGAGGGGGAGAGTAAGAAAAAAGGAGGGAAACTCCAAGGGGCAGCGCTGGAGCTCCAGGAAGAGGAAGAGGCAGCCTGCAGGCCCTGGAAAAGTGAAGCAGCAGAGAACCTGCCCGAGGCCTGGGAAGGACAGGGCCGATCACACCCCAGGACAGGAGCCAGGAGGAGCACTGTGCCAGGGAGGAATTGCCGAGAAGGACAGGCCGGAGCTGGACCCAGTATCACTGCTGCCCAGAACTGCATGGGGCTGTGAGTACTGGGGCTTGTGACTCTGCATTGGGGACAAGGAGGGAGGTTGCTAGCTAGTTAAGTGGGGAGATGGTCGCTCTGTGTGGCTTTGCAGAGAGCGGCAGAAGAGGGCACCGGAGGGGTTTGTCGGGGGAAAGTTCACTGGCGCCGAAGACGACCAGGAGCACCCAAGACTCACCACTGGACTGGAACTTTGCTCAGGACTCCTGAACTCTGTGTGCAGACACATTGCTCAGTGTCTGCCCTTCCAGACTGTGCTACCACTGGGCCTGTGGGGCCTTGGCTTGGATGCAACCCTGTTTTACTGCTCCCCCTATATTTCCCCTTGTTGTTTTTCTCCTCTCATCCCTCTGTAAATAAATATTTCCCTTGTTATATCCATTGTACTTTTCCTGTGGGTGTGTGTGTTCACTCTGGGGGGTTTGGAACAGGCGCCCCTGGGGTGGAAGGGATTTCTCCTGCTGCGTTCCTGCATGCGCCATCTCTTGGCCAGAGCTGCCTGCAGAGCAGACTCCATCTTGGCCACGAGGGCGCTAAAGTTACACTTGGTGGTCCGTACGGGGACTTTGCAGTACACACACACCCCTACGTTGTGCACCCTGGGCTCTTCTTCACAGAGCAAAGAAACTCCTGAGTGACTTTCATCTCAGTTTAAAAAAAAAAAAAAAATGGAGAGAGGATTATTAGAAGACCTGTGCCGAGGGGCACGAATCCCAGTAACCAAAGCTGTGCTGGTGGCGGGGTACCCAGAAGAGATGGAACCAAATGAAATTGAGGAGAGCTTAGATGCAGCTGAAATACTGGGGAGAGTAAAGGTCCGCACCCATATTTACAACCGCAAAGTGAAGGGCATGGTAGCACTATGTACTCACTCCAAGGAAACAGATCTTGATAAAGTGCCCAAAGAGGTGCAAGTAGAAGGTATTCCTTGGACAATTCTGGGGGCAGAGCAGTCCCCTCCTAGTGTGCCTGTGTCACTTGGGGTAGGTCTATACTTACTTCCGGGTCTGGCGGTAAGCAATCGATCTTCTGGGATCGATTTATCGCGTCTTGTCTAGATGCGATAAATCAATCCCGGATCGATCCCGGAAGTGCTCGCCGTCGACGCCGGTACTCCTGCTCCGCGAGAGGAGTACGCGGCATCGACGGGGGAGCCTGCCTGCCGCGTCTGAACCCGCGGTAAGTTCGAACTAAGGTACTTCCACTTCAGCTACGTTATTCACGTAGCTGAAGTTGCGTATCTTAGTTCGAAGTGGGGGGTTAGTGTGGACCAGGCCTTGAGGTGGATTCTTTAGCGCAGAAATTGCAAGCTCTGATGGTGGATGAGAAGCGGACAAGAGAAGAATTAATTTTGGCATTAGGAGAGGCTCCAACACCTGCAGCACCCAGCCTGGTGGGATGGGTCAAAGAGCTGGGAAACACTCTCAAAGATGCATTGAGGCCGGTATATGAAAGTGCTCCATACAAGCGGTTACGTTCATTCTTGGGGGTGTCACCTGTACCCCCAGGGGAGGAGGATTATGAGACCTGGAGGGATTTTACGGTACCACTTGTCCAAGAGTGGGAATGCTCTGATGCTGAGAAGCGGAAATGTGTGCTTGAGAGTCTGAGGGGACCTGCCATGCGAATTATCCGAGCCCTGAAAGACTCACAACCAGCTGCCACAGTGCAAGACTATTTAACCGCTCTTGAGAGTGTCTACAGTACTACTGATAGCAGTGAAGACCTGTATTATCAGTTCCGCCATACCTATCAGGAGCCCCACGAACGATTGTCGGATTTCATCAGGAGACTAGAGGATTTGCTACAGCAGGTAGTGCGGAAGGAGGGCATCCCCACCAAGCGCATTGATTCCGCTAGGTTGGATCAAATCCTTCGGGGCACCCGACAAGATGGGTTGATGTTGTGGCGACTGCAGCTGAGGGAGCGGGCCCCAAACCCACCCCCATTCCACAAGCTCATTCGAGAGATACGTGAAGAGGAGGAGCGATTGTTGCAAGTGGATGCAGTGGTGCAGCCGAAGATGGCAGGGAGTCGCACCACTATAGTGCCTGGAGAGATGGAAGATGCCCCGTCAGTGGCAGCAGCACTGAGAGATTTGACCCGAGAAGTGGCCATGATGAAGGCTCAGGGCCATGCTGTGCCATCCTCAAGAGGGGAGAGTAGCAGGAGGGGTGATAGCCAGCGAGAAGGTTTCTGTTATAACTGTGGAAGAGATGGTCACTATGCCTTGGACTGCCAAAACAAGACAGATCATGCAAGGGTATCTCAGAGATTGCAGCAGACCATTAGGAAGCTTTAGAGAAACACCAACAGGGCTTGGAGAAGGAGCAAACCCAAGACCCTGAAATTCCAAGGCTCCCCAGAAGAAACCACAAACAGGGGTTACAAATGTATTATACAGCAAACAGAAATAAACCTTTAATTAGAACAGTTACAAAACAAAAATTCGAAGTGGCACAATGCAGTGGAGGGCCCAACACAACAAGGGGAAGTGGGATTCAAGGCACAGGGGAGTATATACCTTGTCTCTGCCTCTTCTTGTTCTTGTGCTCTCTGGTGTTGAGTGGTGAGGCTCAAAGTTATATGGGGCTTGAGAGGGTTCAAAAGAGCTCAGCTCTGGGGTACAGCTGTTCTCACGGCTCTTACCATGTCTGAGGTTTCCACAGGAGTGGAAAGCATCTCAGGGAGGGAAAGTTAGAAATGCACCCTAGGCTGGAGGACCTGATCACCAGCCAGGGACAAACAATCAGCCACACTCAGTTCCACTGGTAGCTCTTGCCTCAGGGCTTCAGTTATGTTCAAATACAAAACAAAAGGAAGTGCAGAAGTGGGATTGTGAGGCCCTCAGGCCTCTGGTAACTAAAGGGTCTAGACTTCCCCAGTCCAGTGGGGTCTCTGGAGTCTGTCTGCCCCCTTGCAGCCTTCTGCTGCAGGAAAGTTTGTATTTAGTTCTCTCCTGGTAAGTGGTTTGTGCATGGGGAGGGCTGTATTGAGATTTTTGCTTGGGTTTGGCATTGTGCATTGGAGGCTGGGGGTGGGTGGGAATTATGTTCCTGGTTTGGGTTTGCGGTTTTGGTTATATGGTGTCAAAAGGGGCTAGAAGGACGCCTCGGGGGTTGAGCTGGATAGTAATCCCCTCTACATCCCCTTTAGGATGTCTGGACTTTTGCTGATGTTCCATTGAGGTGGTTGACTAAAAGGCAGAGAGTGGCCTTATTCATAAAGGCAAAGGGCAGACTAGCCAGATACAGTGTGAAGTTCTTCACCAAGATGGTCCCCTCTGAAGTGCTGTAGGAGAGGAAGGGAGTAGTAAGCTATACCAGCTGGAATGACTGTACAGCTCTCCCCCCCCCCCATGCCCCCATTACATCTGGACCAAAAGCAATTTCTCAGTCTTAGATTCTGTTTTATCTCCCCTGCAGTCATGGTGAAAGTGCAGAGAAAAATAAGGTTCTGAAATGACTGTCTGAAGCATTCTCTGTTACAGGACATTTATACCTCTGTATGGAGCTGTATTCTTAGTGTCTTTGCAGACATGTAATGCCCATGTCTTCCTCATATAAACTGAGATTACTAACCACTTCTTTTCCTGTAATCACTGGCTCAATAAAGTGTTGAATTTCATACAAATGAATGTTTTCATTATTCAATATGCAGCAGGAAGAGGGGTGGGGTCCAGGCTCCCAGCTGCCATTTTGAGCTGGTGAATGGGGTTGAGGAGCTGTACAGGGGACACTCACTTACTGCAGTCCTTTTCTTATTCCTGGTGCCCCATGCAGGCTGCCATCTGACCTTGGTAGGTCATCAGTGGCTTGGCCCACCAGCTAAGTCACAAAATCTGAATGAACCCATTCCAGGGTATTAAAGAGTCCAATAAATAAACAGTCTATTTGCCCTTCCTAGCTTCTTCAGCCCTGGCTCTGGGGCATTTAAATTCAGTCCCTTGTTTGGGTTCTCAAATAAACGTATCTACTTTTTGGGGCTTCTCTCTCTGCAATCCTAGCTCTGTAAATTCAGCTTGTTTGTTGGGTTTCTTTGGCCAGAGAGGAGCATCCATCTCCACTCTTCTGATCCCAGCCCAGAACTTCCCTGCTAGGGCCCTGAAGCTCCTTTTATCTGAATCTGCTGGGCTCTGATTGGCTGTCACTAGTCCTTGGAGGACCAGGTATCTGTAGTCTCCAAGATGGCTGCTCCAGAGAGGTCTCTCTAGGCCACCTGGAGGATTTCACCTTTACTTCTCTGTTCCTCCCACATCACTGCTTCATGGGGTGAGGTATAGTAGGACCATGGGGCCTCCTGTAGGGAGCCAGAAAGGCCAAATACATTACATCACAGGGGTGCTTGCTGGGCTGGACAGATGCAAAGAAGGGAAAGGAAAATAGGTAGATGGGCATGTGCCCTTCTTGGTGTGGGCTTGAAAATGGTCCATAGTTGGGTATTCAGCATGAGACAGAGACTGATTGCCCAACCAGAGCAGCCATCATTTTGAAAACACATGGCACGGGGCTGTCCGGACAACGTGGGCCAAGGGAGGAGCTAGAGATTCTGAAAGGCTTTTAGCTCACATCTACCTAAGGTGTCTGAGGCCATGGGGCACACAGAACAGAAGCTAGCATGGCAGTATAGCAAAATAAATTTTAAAAATAGATACATGCTGAGGTTCCCTTGAGATGATCTGTCTCCTCAGACCCAGCCTGGCTTTCTGGCTAGGAATCAGGCTCGATTGCTGCATGGCAGTAATCAGACTTGTTGTCTACCTGGCCAGCAGCAAGGTCCTGATTCCTGAACAGACCCTGGCTTTCCTGGGACAGATCTTCACCGGTCTCCTCATGCTCATCCTCTGAGTCTTGCTGTTCGCCCGCAAAGGGCCGGGGGGAGAACAGAGCAGGCAGCAGGGTCCACAAGCTTCCTGGGTTAAGTGATGGTTTAATTAATCAAAATCCTGTCCAGCTCCTCCAGGATACAGGTTGCATTTCCACTGCTGGAATTTTTCCAGGCATTCCTGGTTTGAATGCAAATCCTCCTGAGCTCTTTGCTCTTTATCCTGCACTGATCAGCATTGCAGTTGTGGCCCATCGCAGTCATCTGCTTTGCAGTGCCCACAAAAAGATCTTTATTCCAGTGGCTGGTCACAAGAGCTTCCTGCACTGTAGTCTGAAGCTTCTCCCCAGAGGGCAATGAGATCCAGGGTCTCAGCACAGCTTCAAGCAGCATCTTAAAATGTGTTGTGCAGCTTCTAGAGAACTATCACAGCAATGCTGATATACTTGAATCCAGGAGCAAATAGGCAAATTCTGGCCCCCACCAGCTTTTAAATGGGGAAGGGAACATCCAGTCAACTTGACATCAGAGCAGTGGAGAGCACACAGGTGAACAGGTCAGTAATAGTCTCTCACAAAGCAGTGTGGGATAGCAGTTGGAGGGCTGCCAAAGTAGCATGCAGCAGTTTTGCATGCACATGAACAAGTGACCAAACTAACTCAATTCGCATTCAAATATAGTTCACTTTGAACTATCCCAGAGTTTGTGATAGATACGGCGTTAGTGCATAATAATGAATTGCATTGTACGTACACTAGCATTTTCAAATCAGTTTAACTCATTTTAGGCTGGTTTAATCCCCCATGTAGACAAGCCTTAATTGCACAAGATGACTGGAATGTATGTATTGGTCGCAAGAGTTACCTAAAACAGAGCAACTGTGTTGGGGAGTTTGGGATTTTGGCAAGACAGAGAACTGAGATTTATGCAACTTGTGACTGAAAACTACTTAGTATTAATTAATACCTTGTTCAAGCAAGAAACAATGAGCAAGTACCTTCAGAGTCCATTGTAGCACTGACAAACTGAAAGTCTGTGAAATGTAATTGAATTTGAGAAGACGATTGAACAAAAGATGGAAGCTGTGTACCTCTGCATGGGTAGCATAGATCAGATAGAGCACAACATTCCCTGCTACATTACAGAGACCATGAATGAAATCCTGGGGAAACAGATCCTAAAGAAGACTTGGATCACAGAGAAGATTATTGAATTATCTGATTAACAAAGGGTACTACAAATACAAAGGAAGAGTGATGAAACTGCAAGAGATCAAAATCCTCTTACAATACAAGATTCACTGATTAAAATGGCAAAAGAAGAGGGGCTTGAACAACAGTGCATCTATGTTCAGAACTCTTGCTGCAAATACCACTAGGAAGGGCTACTTATGGCCTAAACCATCAACACTCTTTTGAAAGGTTTCTCTGGCAGGAAGATTACCATTTCATCCAACAGTTGGGATAGGTTTTGCCTAGAACTGTTGTGACGGTGTACCCCATAAGGCTTCATGGGAATATGCTTATGAATGTATATATAATATAACTGGAATATGTTTTATGCTACATATGCCATGTAACATATCTCTGTAAAGGTTATGATCTACTGAATCTATTAATCCTATTTGTATGCATGTATCATTTTTGTATTCAAAGTTATAAATATTGGCTGGGCACTGGCTTGATTTTTAAGTAGCCCTTGTAAAGCATTTGGTCAGCTTCTTGAGAAAGGAATGTGCAAATTAAGTGCCCAGTCAAGAAGCACTTAAGGGACAATAAACAGATGTATTGGAGCATAAGCTTTCGTGGGTGATGCATCCAACGAAGTGGACATTCACCCACGAAAGCTTATGCTTATGCTCCAATACATCTGTTAGTCTTAAAGGTGCCACAGGACTCTCTGTTGCTTTTTACAGATCCAGACTAACACGGCTACCCCTCTGATACTTAAGGGACAATGGATCTTGGGAGGCTCCAATCCACATAAGAAGTCTACATGAGTACGTTCAAGGTAGCAGGTAAGCAATGGCTGCTGCCTGTAAAAACTGAGTAATGCATGGACATGTGACTTGCCCATTGTCAAAGTCAGACTCAGGACTCACAATTTGTCAGACCACTCTGTTTATTAGCAAAGCGCTCTACTAATACACCCAGATAATGTGAGCACCATGCAAGACACAAACTATCTTATTTATACAGATAAAAGGGCACGAACTTGACAAGATAACAATAGGAAGCAGAACTGATAAGTTTACCTGGGGCTAGATATACATATTTTATTTCCTTACTAACTATTACTGATCTCCTGTTAATGTCCCACCATTAGCTTAAGTGGACCCATTGTTTCATACCTTAATGTTTCTCTTCCTGACAACTATATTTCAACATTCCTTATTCCTGCTTAAAGGAACATACAGCATTTCTTTAATCCATTCTATTTTAACAATATAATTCATTCTACTTTCACACCATGTAACTC